CTATGCACGTAAGATTTATCAGAATTTAGAAATATTAAAATTATTTTTTCTTTATTCGACACCTTAATTCGGCATAATCGTTCTTCGTATACACAACCGATCTCCGTTGTTTGTCAACATTTATTTTGCCTGTAATTGATATTTTCTTTTAATATCATCATTCTTTATGATCCTTTCACAAAGTCGATCTTAAAAGACATTAGGGCATCCGAATTGTGTAATATTTCTAATACGTCACGGTACGCATGCTAGAAAAAGAAAAAAAAAAGAACAAATGAGCAACGTTCAGTGCGCCATTTAAGTTTTAGTTACGGTTTAATTAGACGATATCAATTGCACCAAAAAGTGAAATCAAAGTTAAACCTTTAATAAAGAATTGTTTTTAAACCTTTCACCCTGTTCTATATTTAAATTTAACTTTAAATGAGTTATTTATTTAATTTTTAAGTGTGTAACTACAGTAGTTACTGTCTGTTACTTCAGGTTGTTTATGATTCGACGAGATCGAAAAACAGACGGACAGACGGACACACGTACACTGCTTTTATTATTATAGATAAGGATCTGCCGAGACCTCACTTTCCAGGCTTGATAGAGTTCAAAAGCGTCACTGAGTGCTTGTTGGAGAAGAATTATTTTCCACACTCCAACGTCTCTCTCACAGCCGAGAAATGGCGAGACTCTCACTGCTCTATCACTACTACAATGGAAAGTGCTTGGACGAACTGTATCTCTTGGTTTCACCAGGTCTGAACTTCACGGCTAGGATCCGCCATGTCATTTACAAAGTAGCAAATCACCCATATTCCCTCCGTATTCCATCGATGAGTGGTAAATTCCACACGAGCAGCTACTTTGCGCGAAGCACTGCCCCATGGAACAGACTCCCAAGGGGATGTTTTCTCGATCACTAAAATCTTAACCTGTTCAAGTCGAGAGTCAATCGTTTTCTTCCCTTCCTATTTATAATCTTCTATCACGACTGCACCCTTAATATAATGTAAAAAAAAAGTATAGATGCAGTTACAGTTTGTCATTACACGTTTTTTTCATGAATTAATGCGTGCCATTGCATTTGATTTAACTTTCAAACAAAAATAATGACAAAATGCACTGCTTTACATTTGACCTTTTCTTCGTTATTCTTGCTTGTTTTTCCAGATAATGACTCATGTGCGTCAATGTCTTGGAAGCTATATATATATATATATATATATATATATATATATATATATATATATATATATAAAAGAAATATGTTGTAGTGGTTCCAACGAGAGAAAAGTATGTATATTGTTTTACATAGGGGGTGCCGCAAACGTTTTCATAATCTGGATTTATTGAGAAAAAAATATTATACACAAACAGAATTTCGACGTATCGAGAATATTGGTCATTGACCATGAAGAAAAATTAATTATTTTAATAATATGTAAAAAAATTAATTTTTCTTCATGTTGAATGGCGATATTCTCGAGACCAGAAACACATTCTGAAATTTGTAAAACAAAGTATAATATTTTTTTTCAATTCATTACAACCAAAAACGTTTTGCGGCACCTCTTTCTTTTTAATATATATATATATATATATATATATATATATATATAGATACACCTAGTGAGCCAGATAAAAACCTACCTAGGTTTCACCTAAACGGATCGTCAGGGAAAGTTTGGCTAACGAGGCAAAAAGAAACACATATTTATAGGTGATAGAGATTGATTTGATTAGCAAATCAAAAATTGAGGGTTTTTCGAAACGAGTCTAGTTATCTATCTATCTATCTATCTCTCTCTCTCTCTCTCTCTCTCTATATATATATATATATATATATATATATATATATATATATATATATATATATATATATATATATATATATATATATATATATATAAACCCACATTTGCAAAATGTTAACTGCACATGAGGAAGAAGAATTTAAGCACAGTACTAGATTGGCTGCTATGTTCAGTTATGTGCCATGCGCGTTAGATTTTTTCCCGCAGTAGGTTGCCATTTCTTTCTGCTGTAGACCAGTTGCCTTCCAAGGCTATAGAACCTGGTCTGCCCTGCTATTTTACCCATAGCTGTGGGAAGAAGAAGAGGATTCATACCTTTCCCAAGGGTATTAGCACGTAAGCGAATGTAATGAATTCGACTGGAATTCGAACTTGGCTCTCCGATTCCTCAATTCGAGCCTCTATTCATTACTCCACCTGCTGCTAGGTTACATAATTGTAATGCTGAAATTGATATATGTATAACCTAAAGTTCTATGCTAGCATTTTATTCTTTTGTACCCCTCGCTTGTGAAACATTTTCATCTTCTTGCTTTGCTGTCAAATACGTTCTTCAAAAAAGTAAATATAACAACAATCGTCATCTTTCTGCTTGAGTCATGTTCTTTTATTTTTTCAGTGCTAAATAATTATTATTTCACCCTGAGTAACCCCTTGCGTTTTAGTGGCTTATCGCCTTGCTTGGGGTAAAATGTTTGAAAAAATATAATTTTACTAAACTTAAAATTTATATTTTTATTTAATAAATCATATTTGGAAGGACTATTGCTGTCAAAATATACTGGATTTAAATTATATGATAGCGCAACTCTTAATGATATTAGAAAAATGATCGATATGTTTAATAGACATAAAATGTCTATTCTTTTTGTTAAGACATATTTATACGAACAGAAGAAGAGAAGGAAAGATTCAAAATTATGAACATGTAACGGTGGCGTGGGCAGGGAGAGAAAACCCGAGGATTTATTCTTAGTAGACTTCAAGGTTTGAGTTGACCTGTTTAATATGACATACCCTACAGAATGTTTGATTTTTGATTTAGAGGTTGAATGAAAATTTTGTTTAGTCATTTGGAGTTAAGAAACATTGTCTGTGTCACTTATTGGCTAAGAATATGGCGTATACATAATCCATTTAACAAGATTTTATAAATTTATCTCAAAAATAATATTTGGTTAAGGATATTTAAAAAAAATAATTAAGAACTCAGCGAAAGATTTATATTTTTATCGTACAATAGAAAAAGTTCCTAATTCCCCATAAGATTTAAATTAAATTAACCGAGAGATTTAAATAAAATAGTTATTAAGATATCCAGTGAAATATATATATATACATACACACTACTAATAAATGTACCTTCTGTTCCTTACTGGTGGCACAATTCCGTGTTCCACGCAAACGTCAGATGATTGAAACATCTATTAGTATTAGTATAAATTTTAGCTTTGTTGTTATACGTCGAACGCGATTTTATTACCAACAGCACTCAATATATATAAGTAATTCATCGAGTCTGAAAGAAACCTCAACAGAATGCAAAAAGCACTGGACGGCCGTTTCATCCTATATTTGGGACTCATCAGAAGTGCGCATCTGCTACCAAGAATTGAAACCCTGACAGTTAGGTTGTCAAGCAAACATCATGCCAACTCTTCCACCAGGCCTCGGTGACTAAGAGATTGCAAATCAGACTCAATATAGCGCCGCTCACTCACATATTCCGTGGTGGAACTCTTATTGAGTTCTCTATAACCATAGGACTGTGCCCGTTGGAGCCACGACTACTTTCACCAAGCCGCTCACTCTAGAGCATTAGAAGCCGGTTCAAGCAATGATGTAAATGATAGAAATTATTAGGATGATTTGATAATTATAATTAAGGAATTCATCGTGTCTGAAAGAAAACTCAACAGAATGCAAAAACCATTGGACGGCCGTTTCGCCCCATATTTGGGACTCATCAATAGCATGCATCCACTACCGGAAATTGAAACCCTGACAGTTAGATTGTCAAGCAAACATCATACCAACTGTTCCATCGGGCCCGGCGATGAAGAGATTGCAAATCAGACTCAATATGGCGCCAGTCAGTCACGCTACCTTGGATTCAACCTTTCAGAATCCTCAGGCGATTCGGGCCAACATTCTTTAATACAACTGTTTCCGGACTAATTCATCTCTTACCAATAACTGCTAATATATATATATATATATATATATATATATATATATATATATATATATATATATATATATATATATATATATGATAAAAAAGGCTTTAGTTTGTTTTAGTCTTGAAAAAGTTTACTCTAAACCGAAAATTCGATTTTAATATATTCGCTATGAGGGTAAAACTCAAAACATTTCAAGAGCTTTATTTTTCAAATTGATAATAATGTAATAAGATAGTACTTAAGTATTTTTAATACATTTAACGGTTTATAGCTATAGCATAACATTCGAACTTAAAAATACACAAAAAATTGCATTCTTTCATATACAATTAGAAACGTATATCTGCAAGTAAGAATAGATATATAAAGCTATATAAAGGAAAAGACTGTGGGATATTTAGAATAGTTATATACTTATATATATACTCGTATCATGCGATCCCTGAAGACCTAATTGTTAAGCTAATTTGATTACAGTAAATGGATAACGGTCAGGGTCAGCAGTATATACGCTAATTTTATGTCTCATGTATGATACGACCCTCTTAAAATTAGCTTCAAAATTAGGTCTTTAAAAGTCACATGATATGTGAGTATATACGGTACAATTATTTTGATTTAGATGAAATAAATGTAAGCTGAACTTTTTTTAGAGGTGTCATAAACATCTTGAAGGCACTTGATTGCCATGTTCTGTAGACTGCTTTATTTTAGGAAGTTTAATTCATTTTTTGTGAGCCTGAAAGCTGTAACATAGTTTCTGATAACTATTTCTGCATTGTAGATTTGGTCAGAAAATCAACAGTACACCTATCTATAAAAGATGAATCTACAAATTTCCTGTAGCGAGTCTCTTTTGTCTTTTAGAAGAATAAATACCAACTGAGATAGAATTGCATCTCGCATGGCTCAAGTCGCATTACTGAAGTTAGGTAATTTTTGAAAGTTCTCTTTAAGAAATCTTCCTGTTTCTTCGTAAAAGCAGAAACTCGAGTGAAATGAAATAGAAATTTCATATCATCATGTCATCCTGCTGTTTCCTGAGAATAATCTCTTTTTCACCATTCTTGAAATTCTTCTTGGGCTGTTCGTATTTATTTACAAGTTCACGGATAAAATGATATTCAATATTAGTCGATGTGTTGCTTCCTCCAAACTCGTCATCCATTACTACACAAAGTACTAGTTCAAGAACATGATATTGAAAGCCAATGAATTGTGTTTCTTCCAGTTTCTTCTGAGTAAATAGTCTTTGTAACTGAATGAAAATTCCATTCCTGCTTCCAGAATTCCCATTCGTAGTGTCCGCATCAATAATCTTTACGCTCTTCTATAAATTCTATTCGCCTAGACAACAGTATCCATTTTTTCATTTGGTAGATATAATGCTTCCAACTTCTCTTTCAATCTTCAAAAGAAGCACTTGATATTCTTGTTTCTCGATTCGTTTATCATCAAAATGTAATGATCAGTTTTCTAAATGTAGTGTTTTCTCATTTCTTCTTTAAGACTAACAGCTTCTTTAATAGTGGATCTGTAAATACCAGATTGTGGAGGTGTTTAAACGTCAATCCATTCGTTTGCTGTTTTGCTGGTTAAGTTTGAAGATGTTACTAATTTGGTTGCAATTTTTGCTTTTGCTGTTCTTTCTTTTTCTTGTGGATTGTTCTTCAGATCTTTCGGAATATTCATATGCACTCTCTGATTCAGTCTCTGAATCAGTCTCTGATTCGGCCTCTGATTCGGTGTCTAATTCAGTCTCTGATTCAGTCTCTGAGTCGGTGTCTGATTCGGTCTCTGATTCACTCTCTGATTCGGTCTCTGATTCACTCTCTGATTCAGTCTCTGATTCGGTCTCTGATTCAGTCTCTGATCCGGTCTCTGATTCAGTCTCTGATTCGGCCTCTGATACGGTGTCTGATTCAGTCTCTGACTCGGTCTCTGGTTCACTCTCTGATTCGGTCTCTGATTCACTCTCTGATTCACTCTCTGATTCGGTCTCTGATTCAGTCTCTGATTCGGTCTCTGATTCAATCTCTGATTCCGCCTCTGATACGGTGTCTGATTCAGTCTCTGACTCGGTCTCTGATTCACTCTCTGATTCGGTCTCTGATTCACTCTCTGATTCGGTCTCTGATTCACTCTCTGATTCAGTCTCTGATTCGGTCTCTGATTCAGTCTCTGATCCGGTCTCTGATTCAGTCTCTGATTCGGCCTCTGATACGGTGTCTGATTCAGTCTCTGACTCGGTCTCTGGTTCACTCTCTGATTCGGTCTCTGATTCCTCTCTGATTCACTCTCTGATTCGGTCTCTGATTCAGTCTCTGATTCGGTCTCTGATTCAATCTCTGATTCCGCCTCTGATACGGTGTCTGATTCAGTCTCTGACTCGGTCTCTGATTCACTCTCTGATTCGGTCTCTGATTCACTCTCTGATTCACTCTCTGATTCGGTCTCTGATTCAGTCTCTGATTCGGTCTCTGATTCGATCTCTGATTCGATCTCTGATTCAATCTCTGATTCGGTGTCTGGTTCGGCCTCTGATACGGTGTCTGATTCAGTCTCTGACTCGGTCTCTGATTCACTCTCTGATTCACTCTCTGACTCGGTCTCTGATTCGGTCTCTGATTCGGAACTGATTCGCTCTCTGATTCGGTCACTGTTTCAGTCTCTGTTTCGGTCTCTGATTCAGTCTCTGATTCGGTCTCTGATTCAGTCTCTGATTCAGTCTCTGATTCGGTGTCTGATTCAGTCTCTGATTCAGTCTCTGTTTCAGTCTCTGTTTCGGTCTTTGATACGGTCTCTGATTTGGCCTCTGATTCGGTGTATGATTCGCTCTCTGATTCAGTCTCTGATTCGCTCTCTGAAGCAGTCTCTGATTCACTCTCTGATTCAGTCTCTGATTCAGTCTCTGATTTGGTCTCTGATTCGGTCTGTGATTCAGTCTCTGTTTCGCTCTCTGATTCAGTCTCTGATTCGCTCTCTGAAGCAGTCTCTGATTCACTCTCTGAAGCAGTCCCTGATTCACTCTCTGATTTAGTCTCTGATTCGGTCTCTGATTCAATCTGACTCGGTCTCTAATTCGGTCTCTGATTCGGAGGTTGAAATTCTTGTTGGTACTGTTGTTGAAGTTTGCTTCAAGATCACTTTTTTTTCTTTTGGATTGATGAATCGTTCTTGAAATCGCAACCTTTCCAATTGTATAGCCAACACGTCCTTTACTTACGATCTGCAGATGATATAACTGTGTCCTCACTATACAGTCATTCAACATTTTCTTTTGTGATGTCAACATTTTCATTCAATGGATCATATTTTTCTCGTTTTGCACATTAATCATTGGTGTTCAGCACTTGATCTAGTTTTGCATTTATGAATCAATTTGTTACATTTGGGAAATTTAAATTCTTTTGCCTGTTACATATTTAGCGATTTCCTTCCTTTGATGGATGCCCCAAGGAACAGATAACGACCAAAAATATGGATTTTTAGTGGCATCCTTTTTTTTCTGAGATTTATCACTTAGACGATGTTTCTTTCAGGAGAAGCTCTTTCTTATGAGATATTTTGGTTAAAAATGAATACTTGGAGATCTTTCAGAAAATCAATCTGGAAGCTTATATACTGTGAAGCAAAAAAATATTTGATCACAAGCACCACACAGTTTTTTCCATTCGCCTTATCTTATTGAGAATCCGACCAGCGCTCACACTTTTATATTCCCAGAAAATCATAGCATAAATTTCCAGAATATTTTAGATGGCACCAGAAATTTCCAGAAGGATCCAAAAGTTCTATAAGGTTCCATAAAGTTCTAGGGTTGCAAAAAAGTCTAGAAGATTACTGAAAATTCTAGATGGTTCCATAAAGTTCTAGATGACGCCAGTAAGTTCTAGAAAGTTCCAGGAATTTCGAGAAGACTCCAGAAAGTCATAGTACGACCATAGTTATATACGATTTTAGAAATTTCCTGTTAAACACTTTTTCATTATTTTTTAAGAAAAGTCCATCGAATTATGATACAGGAAATCAATTATTTTACAAAAAGTCATAACCTTAATACATGTAACAAACAGACAGATGCGTACACACATATATGTATACACACACATACACACACACACACACACGCACGCACGCACACGCACACACACACACACATATATATATATATATATATATACATTAGCTCTTTCATTTTACATCAGGTACTGTCTATTTTCTAATGATGACTAAAAGCTTTTATTTTAACGAATAAATATCTATTTTTCACTATATCGCCTTCTGGGTCAATGCACTTAACAAAACGCTTCTGCGTAAATCATATCGATCGAATATTATAGGCTGTAAATTTTACAACAAAATTCAGTTAATAACTCTATCATATTGATCTAACACACACACACACACAGACACACATATATATATATATGTGTGTGTATGTGTATGTGTGTGTGTGTGTGTGTAAAAAGTTAAATTGTTAGAAATGTCTGTACAAAAACTTGCTGTATAGAGAAAATAAGACTTGGAAAAACACCTAATATTTGTGTGTATTTATATGTAATATGTATAGACATAACACCACCCGTATACATACATGTGTCATAGCCGAAACTGTCTACATATGTTTATATATATGTATGAGTTCCGACGGACGACCAAGTATGTATATGTATATGTGTCTGCATACATCGATGTTTGCGTTAGTACGATGAATGACAAAACGACGAAATCTCCCCACCACTTCCACAATAACACCAATACACGCAATCTACATAAACCCAAATTTTTAAAACAGTAATCAGTTTGTCTGACGATCGCTAAAAGCGTGAAACCCAGGGTCACAAACTCACATCTATCCAACCAAAATATATATGTAATATATATATATATATATATATATATATATATATATATATATATAATACATGTATTTTGCAAAGAAATATTAAAATGAATAGTTTTACTTTAACTGATTTCGCTTTTAGTATTTCAAAAGGTTTGGAAATATTTATATTCCCACGTGTTGACGCTTATGACTAGAACAAATGAAATAATCAAGAGGCATAACTGGTTTTATATGTCACTTATGATACGGAAAATATGATAGAATTTATTTTGAGGGATCTTTGGTTTATGCAATGAATTGTGTATTAGTTTAAACTTGGTGATAAAAATGTTTATTTATAAGCTTTTCGGGGGTTTTGCAGTCGCATTGGTAGGATGGAAAGATATTAAAATTTGGCAGATTTCATTCTCCGCATTCCTCTATATGTTGGCTAAGGGGTATTTTTCTGGTGTGAGTATCCCTCATTTATTGGTGATGCACTGTCATCCTTTGTCGGTGTACCTGGCCGTTTTGGCCAATGTTCGGGGCAACATTCGCATGTTATTACGTATATTAAATTCTCTGTGTTACATGATAAATCATTTTTAATTTTGAATTTGGATCCATCTTTGAAGTGAAATTTGTGGCCTTTTAATAGGTAGCTGCACACTCCGCAAAGGAGTCGCTTTCATCTTTTCACCTGGGGCTCTTTAAATATGTTCTGCAATTTTACACTCATTAGTAACTTTTTTTTTAATGATTTTGGTTGTTGCTTACTTTTTATGATTGGTTACTTTTGTAATAATTTTTCATTTGTTTGTCCTTTAGTAGGATTGGTAGATTTAGTTGCATGTGTTTGTGTTGATTTCTGTGTTGTTTGGGTTGAAAGTTGAGATATAAGGGATGATCATTTTTTTCTTTTTGTTTCTCGGGCTGCGTAGATATTAATTTGTTTTGCTTTTTCAATGCTGTTGTTAATTAATCTTTTCTCTTGATGATTATTTTTCTTTCTCTTCTAGTCTGCTGTATCTTGTTGTGTTTGAGACTATTGTAGAGATTCGCTTGGCTAGTTGAGTGAAATGTTGGTACGAATGTGATTCGGATGGAAAGATATAAAAAGGAGTGTCTGTAGGTTTGAAATATAAAAAGGAGAGTCAGTAGGTTTGAAATATAAAAAGGAGAGTCAGTAGGTTTGAAATATAAAATGGAGAGTCAGTAGGTTTGAAATCGATGTCAATTTGGTGTTTCTTTTTGTTATCAATATGTATAAAAAGGAAGTTTTTGTTTTGTTGCTGTACTCCATAGTAAATTGGATGCTAAGATTTATATTATTAATGGATGTTTGGAATATCCTTAGCTTATCAAGATTTTCATTCTACAGAATGAAACAGTCATCTAGATATGTTTTCTATTTTTCTTTATGTAGTAGCTGAAAGCATTCCGATTGATTTCTGAGGCATTTACATAGATTTTTGTTCATGGTATCCCGTGACTAAGTTAGCATATGTTGGTGCAAGCTTTGTCACCATGGCTGTTCTTTGTCGGTTGAGTGTTTCAATGAACATGAAATAATTGTTTTATATGATGAATTCTATGGTTTCTATGATGAAATTTCCATCGATATGGTTTGCTAGCTCATAAGGGAACTTTCTAGCCAGTATTTAATAGCCTCTATTCCGTAGTCGTGTGGGATTTTGCTACATAGGTTCACAACATCCATTAAGACTATATAAGTATTTTGGTTTACCTCATTTGGTAGATGTTTGAGAAAATCTAGATCGTCTTGCATGAAGCTTCGAACATATTTGAGATGTTTCAACAGGATGTCTAGGAAATTGCTTAGGCGGTGTGTCGCGCAAATTACACCTGCTATTATAAGTCTTAGTTTTAAGTTGGTTGATGCGGATAAATTCATAGAATCGGCTTTTTTTTATATCGCATGCTTCGTTGATGAGCTTATTTTTGTGTACTTTTAGTAGTCCATAAAGATCGCTTGTTTTTCAAGTCATAATCGTCAACACGTGGGAATATAAACATTTTCAAACATTTTGAAAAGTTAAAAGCGAAATGTTTCGAAGAGCCACATTTTTTTAGCGTTACACCCCAAGCAAGGCGGGAAGCCACTAGGACTCAATGGGTTACAGAGAGTTGGAGCGAGAGCAAATAGGAGTGATAGAGGAAGGATGAAGAGAAGGATAGGGGATAGATCAAGGCATCTGGAGACGTCGATTGGCATTACATTTGGATAGTTGAAGATTATAACTATCAGGGAAACAGGAAAAGGGGACGGAGTTCCACAGGCGAGAAGTGCAAAACATGAAGCTATTGGAGTAGAAGAGACGACTATATTTAAGAGTTTCAACAGTGAAAAGATGAGTGCGAGATGCCAGCCTAGTAGAACGCTTAAATTCATGAAGTCTGGGAACCAGTGAAGGCAGCTCATCGGAGCAGTTACCATGAAAGATTTTGTAAAAAAGACAGAGAGAGGCAACGGCACGTCTGTGAGAGAGCGACTGTAGACGAGATGCCAGATCAGGGCCAATTACAAAATTTCCTGGCACGGCACAGGGAGCCAACTTACCTTGCAGTGGACGAAGCTATTGGTCTCAATGTATTCGTTCCATCTCAGGTCAGCAGACAATCTGAGACCGAGCAGTCGCAAAGAGGTACTCTCATGGAGTTGAGCGTCAGATATTCTAATGGGAGGCAGGTATGGTTCTCTCTGGTGAGTAATAGAGAGCAGTTTTGTTTTTGAGGCATTAAAGTTAACCAGCCAATTCCTGCCCGAGTCCACAACCAATTGGAGGTCCTTATCGGGACAGACGGACAGGTTATTTTTGTCAGCGATACTAGATTTCTTTTGAGACAGGAGTAAATTGTAGTGTCCTCTGCGTAGATGCCTACTTGGGAACCTATGACGTCAGGAAGATCGTTGATGAAGATAAGGAACAGGGTGGGGCCTAGGATGGTGCCTTGGGGAACACCTGCGTTCGTGGGATAGGAGTTGGAAGAGAATCCGTTGAGAACGATCTTCAATACATTTTAATATTTCTCTGTAAAAATGCATGTATTATAAATTTCACATACAAAGTAATAGTTTTTCTCAAAATCTTATTTTCTATCCCCCCCTCTTTCTTTGTCTCTCTCTCTCTCCATATATTTCTGAGATGAAGTATTATATACACTATTACATTATTTGGACTATTGTCTTCATCTTTGTCGCCATAAATATTACAACGTTTCGGCCGTTATACACTTCGGCCTTCTTAAGGTGGTTAGAATGTCGAACTGAACCCTTTATTTCGCTCACTGGGGTAGACTGTTCTTGTTCCACGTGCCATGTTTTAATGAATGTCAGTTATCAGTTATCTCCTGTTAATTCCCTTCTCCAATTTCTCCACTGCCTTAACCGGGTATTGAACTGACACTCTTTGGGTCCGATCACTGGATCTAACAAACGCTTTTATCCACTGTGCCATGTGCCTTTGCGGAAATAAAGGGTTCAGTTTGACATTTCAACCACCTGAAGAAGGCCGGAGCGTACAACAGCCGAAATGTTGTAATAAGTATGGCGACAAAGATGAGACAATATATATATATATATATATATATATATATATATATATATATATATATATATATATATATATATATATATATATATATGAAGAAAATAAAAAAATCCTAATATGCGATTATGCTGTTTTAATGTTTAATGTCAACGTCGGACGTTTCGGTCTAATAGACTATCATCAGGACATATTCATAAAACATAATTAACATAGACCATATACAATTCAACATGAAAAAGACGATGGACATAAAAGCAATACCAATCCAAACAGATAACTGAAATCTTTTATAAGATCAGCGTTCCGTTGAAATATGATCACGTCGTTGTCACGTGGGCGATTGTTTTTTCAGTATATTTTTCTTCATACTGTCGGATCTATATCCATATATTTGCTTACATCGACACGGACTTTTATAACCTGAAAATAAAATAATATTTTATTAAAAAAATTAAACAAAACAGCAATCTTTTATTAAAAAATAAGCCGTTTAGAAAAACGCCTGATAATTATGCACACATTGTTTCCTCTATCTCGCCAGACATTTCACAGATCTTTCGAATTCCTTCCACCAGAAAATGAAGATCCTCACTGCCTATTATTTTACTTAAAAGAAAGAGTGAAATAGATTGGAGGGGAGAGAGAAAAAGAGAGAAAGAGGGATAAAACGAAAGAGAGAGGGGGAGGAAGGAAGAAAGATAGAGAGAAGGAAGGCGAGAAAGAAAGAGAAAGAAAGAGAGAGAAAAACAGATAGATAGAGTGAGAAAGAAAGAAAGAAAGAAAGAAAGAAAGAAAGAAAGAGAAGAAAGGTAAAGAAAGAAAGAAAGAAAGAAAGTGAAAAAAGAAAAGTAATGAAATATCAATAGAGATAAAACCAAGTGTAGAAAAGAAAGAAGAAATAGAATCAGTGTAGTAAGGAGAGGGTGGAAAAGAGTGGAGAGGTCGATAGAGAGCAGAGTGAAGGGAGAGAGAGGGAGCTGGTTAATGGTATGAGAGAGATAGAGAGAAAGATAGAGAGAGGAAATATAGAATTTGAAAGAGAGAAAATGGGAATCACAGTAATTGTACTGAAGATGAAAAGGAAGAAACTGTAAATTGACGACGCAAAAAGAGGAAGTGAGAAAGAGATTGAGAGAGAGAGAGAGAGAGACATGGTATGAACGAAAAAGGAAGAAAATTATGTGGGATTGAAAACTAGAGGAAGAACAAAAAAAAGAGCGTGAGTGAGTGAGAGAGAGAGAGAGAGAGAGAGGGGTACCAGAGCAATGTGAAAAAGAAAGTTTAGGACAACAAAAAACTGAGGAACCAAGAAGAAAGTCAGATAAATAAAAAAAAAAATTAAAAAAAGGCAAAAAAAAAAGGCAAAAAAAACGGCAAAAAAAAAAAAAAAAAAAAAAAAACACTTATTTTCGTTAGTTTTATTTATTTACTGATTTTTTTTTCTTTTTTCGGTCCAAGGATTATTTCTCTACAATTTGAAAAAAAACCCATCGGGGACAGATAGAAATCCGAAATTAAACCCGGTGGGCCACTCTCTGGAAATTAATGTAACGATAAAATAGTCGAAAAGAAGAAAATAATAAACTTGTACGCTCTTGATGTCTACTCGATGAAAGTGATTAATTAAAACTTGTGTTTCAAGCCAATTAATTTTCGCTTCCTACTCGTTTCTATCTTTTAACTTAATTGTCTGAAGCAATTAAGTGACACCGAGGGCCAGGGGTTCTTTTTCAATAAGCCATCAAAATTAAAGTTTTACTCTTGTTTTACTAGATATTTCACTCTTGAATATCCTAACCAATTGGCCTTGTTGTTACCTAGATTAGTTATTTGGTATCTATACAGTAAGTACATACACACACACACACACACACACATATATAAATGAATATAACAGTGAACACAAGTCACTAGTCTGTTCCATGCTTGAATGCAAACTTCAGGCCATTTGAAAGACCCAACAGGGATAGATAGTTTTTAAAAATACTGGAAATTCAATCAGTTGTCATACATGATATTCGCTTGGGCGATCATGTCTCTTTCGACTGACTAGATAGAAAATTTAGAACAAAGTGGGCTGCTGTTATTTATGCGGTAGACTGGTAGCCAACCAAGGCTATAAGACCCAGTCTGTCCTGGTTTAATGATAAAGTCTTACGAATTAACCCATGGCTAGGGCAGAGAGTAAAGGGAAGGATTCATACCTATCCCAAGGTTATTTGCGCGTAATGTAACGGACCTGACTGGAATTCGAACACGGCTCTCCGATTTCTCTTTGCGAGCCGTTATCCATTACACCACACCGTACATACCACACGTGATTACTGTAACAATAAATTAGTCAAAGAAGAAGATAATAGCCTGGCGTTCAAACATGAAATACTATTGCCACTCTATGCTGACTTCAGTGTCCACTCGTATATTTACTTACACTATAGCCCGTTATTTAGCACTTTTACATAAATAAACCATAACTTTATTTTCTCTCTCCTACAGAGATATATATATATATATATATATATATATATATATATATATATATATATATATATATATATATATATATAGAGAGAGAGAGAGAGAGAGAGAGAGAGATAGTTACTATATTTATAGGAGAGAATGCTCAATATTTGATACACCGGTCGGTGTTTATAGATATACGCAATAAGAATATCAATAATTCCAGATGTAGTTCGAGCCTTTGGATTGATTGGAAAGGGTTGCAATATACACATTGAAGGGATTTCTGGCAACCCATGCCTTAAATAAATACAACGAACTGTACTCACAAGTACAGTTCACACATTACGAAGAGTTTTATGGCTGTAAAGTGTGTGCGACATTTGTTTTTTTTATTTTTTTTTATTTTATTTTATTTTTTTACAAAAATGACCAGTGTAAAAATTAATGAAGCCTTTTCGGACCTCAGATCTCTGGTTGGCAACCGGAAGAAAATCAAAGATTAATACTACTTCTACTACTACTATTACTATTACTAATAATAATGATGAAGGAGATGGGAGGCAGCATGCCCAAATGAAGGAGGGAGTAAGAAAATAATACGACAGGCATATATGTCTGGTATTAAATACCGAATTAAATAAAAAAAATATGTGGTGCAATACAGTTTCAACATCGTTAACTAAACTATAGCTGACATTAAGCGAAACGATGCCAAAACGTGAATGCTTCTGACTTGCCATAGCATGCGTCATCCCAAGGTTAATGTTGATCGTCTGTATGTGTCCAGATCTGAAGTAGGCAGCGTAGGTCAAGTAGAACTGTCTTATAAAACCACTACAATCGGCCTTCAAATATATATGAAAACAACAGAAGACTGGATGATGATCTGTGTCAAAGAACATGAAAGAAATTGTATTTAGTAATAAAGGAAGCCAACAAGTAGAAAATGGCGTTTGAAGTGATTGAAGAAATGCAAGTAAAACATAATGCACCAGCTACAGCAGAAAAAAAAAGCTTAAAAAACAAAGACAATTGCAACCGACCAGATGACAACACAAGTCCCTTCATGGTCAATGTTATGTTCGTACCAAACAATCAAATGTAAACATGCCCCATAGCTATCAGTAGTTACATAGTGCAAGGTTAAAAAGTGTAACGGATGGTTTTATTATACGTACACAAGACCAATGTTTGCAAACTAGAAATTACCAAACACACAGACGAAAAAAATTGTCTTAGACAAAAATGCAGATTCTGTGATAAATGACCAGGTTGCACAGTATTTCCACCCACTGAAATACGGCATGACAGATTGGGCCAATATCTGCATTAGAGAATATGCAATTTTTACGGAAAGGAAACTGGTATGAAGACCAACCAGACCCAGTTACAGAAAAAAGGACCTGTAAAAATTATATGGGATTTTACAATACACACAGACAGAACAATCAAAGGTGATCGCCCAGACATGGTGATCAGAGACTACAAGAACAGAATATGTCTTCTGATTGATATGGAAGTTCCTGCAGACTGTAATGTATCTTGGAAGATCTTCAAAACCTATCAAAGTACAAAGACCTTGAAATCGAAATCTCAAAAATGTGGCACGCGAGGACATCAACAATTCCAGTTGTAATCGAAGTTCTCGGTTTGATTGATAAAAGGTTCTATTAGATTCATTGAAGCGATTCCTAGTAGAACAAGCCTTAAAGAAATACGAAGGGCTTTATCTATAAAAAAATATCACACATTTAAATGTATGTAATAGTTTTTTTCTTTAAAATGCTCAGTGAAAAATGTCATGATGCCATTGCTGAAATTAGGTCTCTGGTTGGGATCCACGAAAGATGTTAAGAAACTTCCAAGAATGTTAAAGTGTGCACGAAAGATATCAACAAAGCGCAAAGAATATTAAGTATCCACCGGAGATGTTAAAAATCTGCCAAGGATACTAAGGATTCACGGAAGATGTTAAGAATGCTCAAATAATTTTAAGGACTCAGAAAAGATGTTAAGATTTCGTCAAATATTTTGTGGATCCATTAAAGATGTTAAAAAACGCTAAGAAAGTTAAGAATCGACCAAAGATGTATAAAATCCACCAAAGATATTAAGAATCAGCCAAAAATGTTAATGATGAATTAGAGGGGCTAAGAATCCGGAAGAATGTTAAGTATACACCAAAGATGTAAAGAATTCGGAAGGAATGTTAAGTATCAACAAAAGATGTTACGAATGCGCCAAGAATGTTAAGAATCACCAAAGATGTTAAGAAAACGCATGAATGTTACAGACCCCGGAAGCTGGTAAAAATCTCGTCAGAATACTAAAGATGCACCGACTATGTTAAGAAAGCTCCATAAATGTTTAGATGCATCAAAGAGGTTAAGAATCCTCCAAGAATGTTAAGGATTTACGAAACATATCAACGATCCACAGAAGATGTACAGAATCCACCAAGAATGTTAACTTTTTACGAAACATATCAATGATCCACAAAAGATGTACAGAATCCACCAAGAATGTTAAGGATTTACGAAACATATCAGCCATCCACAAAAGATTTACAGAATCCACCAAGAATTTTAAGGATTTACGAAACATATCAACGATCCACAAAAGATGTACAAGAATCCACCAAAAATGTTCAGGATGCACCAGCATTTTAAAAATCTGCGGAGAATGTTAAGGATTCACTAAAGATGTTAAGTAAGTGCCGTGAATTTTACAGACCACGAAATATGTTAAGAATACATCAAAGATTTTAAGAATCCAGCAAGACTGTTAGTAATACACGAAATATGTTTAGGATCCACGAAATATGTTAAGGACCCACCAAAGAAATTAATAATCTTCCAAGATGGTTAAGGATACATAAAAGAATTCGCCAAGAATCTCAATACATCGGTGGGGCTAAGAATCCGGCAAGAATGTCAAGTATGGACCAAAAATTTAAAAAAATCAGCAAAGAATTTTAAGTATTCAAAACAGATTTAAAGAATCCGCGAATAATTTTAAGTATCCATAAATATGCTAAGAATCAGTAAAGAATGATTATTTTCCGAATGACTTTATGAATGCGCCAAGAATGTTAAGCATACACCGAAGATGCTAAGAATCCGTCAAGAAAGGATACACCAAAAAATTAAGAATCAGCCAAGAATGTTGAAAATCCACAAAAGATTTGAAGAATCAGCAAAGAATGATAAGGATCCACGAAAGATGTTAAGAAACAGTCAAGAACTTTAATGGAACATCGGCGAGGCTAAGAATACGCCAAGAACATTAAGGGACCACTAAAGATTTTAAGAATGCGCCAATAATTCTAAGGAGCACCAAATATGTTAAGATATTGCAAGAATGCTAAGAAACTACCAAAGATGTTAAGAATCCACCAAAGATGTTAAATGTCGTTCAAGAATGTTAAAGTCATACCAAATATTTTAAGAAACCGCCAGGATTGCTAAGTATCTTCCAAGAATATTAATGTTCCAACAAAAATATTAAGAACACACCAAAATTTAAGAATTTTGCTAAACATAAAATTGATTTCATTTAGAAACAACATACGACGTACAAAACTTTTACCTTTTGTGTATATCTTTCGTTAAAGAAAGATGAAAGTTCTACCCTCGAAAAAGATCCGGCATGTGGCTTGAGGTGCGGGAGAGATGAGTTCTTGTCTGTCCACATCTATCTATCTTGAGAATTGAATATTACAGCGGAATTCATTGTCATTTTTTAATTATTTGAAATATTATTATAAGTAGTTATTTTTCGTTTGAATGCGATAATTAGTTGGCAATAATGTACTTGGTGATAGTGATAACTGCAAAGATTTAGAGAGTAGAGAAGCATTATTATTTTTACTCCTGGTAAGGCAATAAAACAAGTGGGTTACCTAGTTTATGAGAATATGAGGAAAAGAGATCTTAGCAAGAATGGCGAACAATAAAAGAATAGGAATTAAGAACACGGAAGATAACGAGTGGCATTGCATTTCAATTTTTGAAGATCAAAGTTGACTGGAATACAAAAAAGCTATAAGAGAATTTCACAAGCAGGTGAAGAAACTTTTAGCATATAAATTACGATTATATCTAGCCATTTTAACTGTAAAATGATAAGACCTACTTGCCAACCTAATACGAAGCTTAGAATCGCGCTACCATAGAGAAAATCACATCATAACAATTCCCATGAAAATATTTATAGAAAAGACACAGTGCAATGACATCGCAGATTCTTTTTATAGAATATACGATTGATAAATTGTCGTCTAAGTTACGCAAAAATAAAAAAATAACACTGACATCTCGTATGAACAGATATGTTTACCAAAATTACTCAGAAATATCTTGAAATATCAGGTCATCCTATAAGTTCTGTCCGAATTTTAACTTTTTGTTAAAATTAACGAAATTTAAAGAGTATTTTATAATGTCTAATGGAGCTGAACATTATTTTTATGTTTAGATGCATGTCAGAGAACAATAAAATTAATTTTGTTTGATTAAAACCCTGCTAACATGGAAGTACCCAAGAATCATTTGAGGCACATAATGCTTTATGAGTTCAAGAAAGGAAAGTCAGCAGCCGAAGCGGCTAGAAACATTCACTCAGTTTATGGAGAGGAATGTGAGAATGAAAGAACTTGCAGAAGATGGATTGCAAAATTCAGAGGTGGAGATTTCACCCTTGAAGATTAAGATCGAACCGGACGTCCATTTCAGTTTGATTAAAAGCTTCTTGAAGCAGCCCTTGAAGAAAATCTTGCTTTATCAGTTGAGGAATTGGCAGTGGTTCTCAGTTCAAACCATACAACTATTCATCGTCATCTTCAACAACTTGGAAAAGTTCCTAAACTTGAAAAATGGGTGCCTCATGAATTGTCTGAAAACAACATCAAATCCTGAGTTGATATCTGCTCTTCTCTCCATTCACGCCAACTTGTTTCACATTTTCTGGATAGACTTGTGACTGGCGAAGAAAAATTGATCTTTTATCGAAATATTAAGCGTCGTAGACAGTGGCTTGGTAAAGGGGAAGGACCCTAGCCACAGCCAAGAAGGGAACTTCATGGACAATTGTAATATAGACTCGCCTGTGAATGATTGACAGTGGGAAAACCCGATGTAGCCAGCGGAAGAAACGTAATGGTAAAGCTTGCAATACTAAGAATATAAGTCTTAATTGCTTAAGGAAATAACGCCAAAAAGCATATGAAAAGAAAACACCAAAGATGCTTAATAGTATTAAAGTCTTTGAATTGCAAAACATAGTGGAATTCAAAAACCGTTCTGGGAATAATGATAAACTATCAGGTCATCCTATAAGTTCTGTCCGAATTTTAAATTTATGTTAAAATGAACGAAATTTAAAGAGTATTTTATAATGTCTAATGGAACTGAACATTATTTTTATGTCTAGATGCATTTAAACTGATCAAATTTTATTTCAAAGAACAATAAAATTAAATTTTGTTTGATTAAAACCCTGCTAACATGGAAGTACCCAAGAATCATTTGAGGCACATAATGCTTTATGAGGAAACTCAGCATCCGAAGCGGCTAGAAACATTCACTCAGTTTATGGAGAGGAATGTGTAAATGAAAGAACTTGCAGAAGATGGTTTGCAAAATTCAGAGGCGGGGATTTCCCCCTTGAAGATGAAGATCGAACCGGACGTCCAATTGAGTTTAATGAAAAGCTTCTTGAAGCAGTCCTTGAAGAAAATCCTGCTTCATTAGTTGAGGAATTGGCAGTGGTTCTCAGTTCAAACAGTACAACAGTTCGTCATCTTCAACAACTTGGAAAAGTTCCTAAACTTGGAAAATGGGTGCCTCATGAATTGTCTGAAAACAACCTCAAATCCCGAGTTGACATCTGCTCTTCTCTCTATTCTCGCCAACTTGTTTCACCTTTTCTGGATAGTCTTGTGACTGGCGACGAAAAATGGATCTTTTATCGAAATGTTAAGCGTCGTAGACAGTGACTTGGTAAAGGGGAAGGACCCCAGCCACAGCCGAGAAGGGAACTTCATGGGCAAAAGTTTCTTATTTCAATCTGGGGGGATCGCCAAGGAATAATCCACTTTGAATTCTTACCACCTAAAGCAATAATTACTGCTCAAATATACTGTCAGCAATTAGAGCGTTTGAACCAAGCTTTGAGGAAAAAAGACCTGCTCGTGAGTCGAAAAGATGTGATGTTTCATCCGGACAATGCGCGACCCCACACAGCAAGAATCACGTCACAAAAGATCGTCGTCTTCTTCTTCTTCGTTGTCATCGTCGTCGTCGTCGTCTTCTTCTTCTTCTTCTTCTTCTTCTTCGTCTTCTTCTTCTTCTTCTTCTTCTTCTTCTTCTTCTTCTTCTGTGTGTTTTGTCACTTCCAGAGGTAGGCGACCATGGTTCTCAATAACTTCCTTTGTCGCTCTATTGCCCTACTTACGAAAATGCAAGGCCCTCTAAAGATTACATCGCAGTTCAGTACCTATTTTTGCTTCCCTTTACTATTCATACCAATCCATATTTTGTCATGCAATCACACAAAATCCTTAGATTATTCCATGTTTCTCTCTCTCCCTTGTATGCCCTATGAGTGTCTAATTCTCTTATTCCACTTTCCTCGCTAAGTCCAATAAATTTCACTTCTCTTCATGTTATTCTTTGTACAAGTTTTATTATTGTTCTCATTTTCCTTAAAATTTCTTTGTTATTCACATGCTCCGTCCATCGCATTCCCAGCATCCTTCTGTCGAACCACATCACCTTTGCCTCAAGTCTCTTTTTCTACTATGAGAAGATTAAATAGCATTAACAATCATATAGGAGAACTGATATTACATAGCAGTTCAGTACTCATTTTTTGTTGACTCTGTAACGAGATCATCCACTCTCTTGAGTCATCAATTTTGAGATCTAACAGTATTAAGAAAAATGCTTGAGATTTGAGAAAACTTGCTGTCACTTGATCTCCAGTGGTAGCCATCCCCTATTTGATTTGCAATTTAATATTTAGCATCAATATTTGGAATAGCAATTAAAGGAAGCTACTTACGAAAATGCAAGACCCTCTTAAATATTGCAACATCTAAAGATTTTAATGTTTTTTTTGTTTTTTTTTCAGACTTGTATGCTGTACTGTTTTGTTTTTTGTTTGTTCATTTTTTTCCTGTACAATATTAATGTGTCCCTTAAATTGTCAACTTTATTCAGAACGGAAAAAAGTAATATATTCCATAAACTTGGGCAACCATTACAGGGTTTTAGTGGTTTAGAAATTGAAAAGATAGAAAAGAGAGCATTACCAGATGTTAAGATGCAAATGGGTCTTCTCTCCAAAATTCACTTTCAACAAGAGACTTCAATTAAATATTTTTTTAAAAATGATCGTACTTTAAGAAATAATAAAATAAGAGATGCAGTAATTTTCAACACTGGTTCAAACGTCAATATTTTCAAGAGAATATTAAAGATTTTAACTACGTGAATGGAAATCACGCATATGAAAGTAGCTTAATGGTTACCGAAATGGACAATGGAATATTCAAGATTATTTGAAATTCCAGCTTTTTATTTTGAATTTTGCTTCGCAATCAA